GGATAAGTGGTTACCTAACCAACAGAGGCTGCTGCACTGTTTCAGGTAACAAAAGTGAAGTTAAAGATATGCAACACTCCCCGAAGGTGGAGTAGTTAGTCTCTCTGTATGTTCTTATGAAAGCATTATTAAATTCAATACCAAGACAACCTCAGCAATATCACAATCAGCTATGCTGATGATATTGTACATACTAAAACTCATCGTGAAATGCAAACCCTGAACCATGTACACGCAGCCTGCTGAGAACCTCGGTCTTATTATCTCCACTGAAAAATAAAGTGTTCAACAAACAAGCTGGTAACCTCAAACGCGGCCCCGCCAAGTTCAAGATAGGTAACAACACTATTAATTATGTCTCTTCCTTTAAATATCTTGGTGTCTCTGTCCTTGACCACCTTACCTGCCATACAACAGCTAACCCGCCAATGTACTGACAGACTGAGACCTCTTAGGAGTGTGGCAGGTACAGCCACTATGGTTGCTAATATTAGAATTGTTAAAACAATGTACCTAGGCTATTTAATCTCTGATAGATTACCACACCAGCCCTGGTCATTCGTGACGGGAAAGGGGTTGACAAGCTCGGGAAAATGCAAAATAAAGCCCTCAAAATTATCCTAGGATGTCCCATGAGCACTAAAGTACTTAATGTGAGGAAAAACGAGATATACCCAGGCTATTGCGTGATGATCGTGATAATATTGGTTCCTAAATTGCTAGAATGTATGGATAATAGGACTAGTGAAACGAAATGGATCCAAACTACAGCTGTACATATAAAGATGTTTGGACTAGACCACCTGTACAAAGTTGAGACGTAACACCACTTCCTTCCACCTGGCGGACAGTTCCTTCGATATCACAATACCGACGTATCCGCCTAAAAGATTAATTAAACCAAGTATTTATCTTCAACACACTGCCAAATTGAGAGCTCTTGAACACATACACACTCTACAGACTGTGATAATATCACACAGACCATTTATACTGAAGGATTCCTAACACTTCTGTGGGAGGGCTGGAAGTGCTATCGTTGTGACTCAACCCAACGGTAATTCAATTGAAAAGGGAGTTAGAATTAACAATTGGGCCTCCACTCTACAAACTGAATTAGTTGCCATACTCACAGCTATAAAATTTATTGAAACCACTGTTACTGACAGTCTCATCATCACTGATTCTCTATCCTCACTACTTGCACTTGACACCCTCAACTTCAAGTTGTCACGCTTCTCTCTGAAGCAGATACAAGTATGTGTGCCTTGTTGATGGGGGTGTCAAGATCAAACTGTCACTGTGTGTAATTGCACAAACTTTATCTCTAATGGCAAGATAGCGACTTATTAAATTATTGTCCCACTTGTATGCACTCATTAGCTGTATCAGTTCCTATGTACAGAACCAAACACACAATATGCTTGAATATCTCTCACGCAAATGTTAATAACAAAGCGTGCTGTCAGACATACTGCTTCACACTCCTGTACTCACACAGTTGTGAATAAGTTACTCTATGTATAGAAATAAACAAAGAATATATTTGAAATACTCTGTAACATTCAGTGCCATAATATCCTGATCACTGAGGTTAGTTATACTGACCCTTCGTGAACTCTACTTGTAATCCTTTCGCTACCGCTCGCAGGATGAATATGGGGTGCCAATAAACTAGCTGCCGTAAGTGGCAAATTTTAATGCCACCACCACCACCAACAACAACAACAGTCCCACCACACCACCACCACCAACAAAACAGTCTCCACCACACCACCAATAATCTCCACCACACCACCAGTCTCCACCACACCACCAGTCATCACCACACCACCAGTCACCACCCACCTTAGTCTCCACCCACCACCAGTCTCTACCATACACCAGTCACCACACCACCAGTCTCCACCACACACAATCCCATCCACAACCACCAGTCACACCACCAGTCTCCACCACCAGTCTCCACACCACCAGTCTCCACCACACACCAGTCATCACCACACCACCAGTCACCACCACACCACCAGTCTCACCACACCACCAGTCTCCACCACACCACCAGTCACCACCACACCACCAGTCACCACCACACCATCAGTCTCCACCACACCACCAGTCACCACTGCACCGGTCTCCACCACACCAACAGTCTGCCACACCACCAGTCACCACCACACCATCAGTCTCCACCACCACCAGTCACCACTGCACCCAGTCTCCACCACACCACCAGTCACCACAGTCGCCACCAGTCTCCACCACACCACCAGTCACCACCACACCACCAGTCTCCACCACATCACCAGTCATCACCACACACCAGTCACCACCAGTCACCACCACACCACCAGTCTCCACCCACCACCAGTCACCAATGCCAACAGTCTCACCACACCACCAGTTCACCACACACCACCAGTCTCCACCACACCTCAACACCACACCAACAGTCTCCACCACACCACCAGTCACCACCACACCACCAGTCTCCACCACACCACCAGTCACCACCACACCAACAGTTCCACCACACCACCAGTCACCACCCACAACAGTCTCCACCACACCACCAGTCACCACCACACCACCAGTCTCCACCACACCACCAGTCACCACCACACCACCAGTCACCACCATACCACCAGTCACCACCACACAAAGTCTCCACCACACCAACAGTCACCACCACCCACCAACAGTCTCCACCACACCACCAGTCCCACCACACCAACAGTCTCCACCACACAGATCTCCACCACACCAACAGTCTCCACCACCACCAGTCTCCACCACACACCAACGTCTCCACCACCACAGCTCACCACCAACAGTCTCCACCACACCAACAGTCTCCACCACCCAACAGTCTCCACACCACAGTCACCACCACACCACCAGTCCCCACCACACCACCAGTCTCCACCACACCACCAGTCACCCCACCACCAGTCTCCACCACAACAATCACCACCACACCAACAGTCCCCACCACACCACGTCACCACACCACCAGTCCCACCACACCAGTCACCACCACACCAACAGTCTCCACCACACCACCAGTCACCACCACCAACAGTCCCACCACCACCAGTCACCACCACACCACTAGTCTCCACCACACCACCAGTCACCACCACCACCAGTCACCACCACCACCAGTCACCAATCTCCACCACACCAACAGTCACCGCCACACCAACAGTCTCCACCACACCACCAGTCTCCACCACACCACCAGTCTCCACCACACCAACAGTCTCCACCACACCAACAGTCTCACACCACCAACAGTCCACCACAACAGTCTCACCCACCAACAGTCTCCACCACACCACCAGTCCACCACACCGTCAACCACCACACCACCAGTCTCACCACACCACCAGTCTCCACACACAGCTCTCCACACACCAACAGTCCCCACCACACCACCAGTCTCACCCCACACCACCAGTCTCCACCACCACCAGTCACCACCACACCACCAGTCCCACCACACCAACAGTCACCACCACCACCAGTCCCACCACCACCAGTCCACCCACCACACCACCAGTCTCCACCACACCACCAGTCCACCACACCACAGTCTCCACCACACCACCAGTCTCCACCACACCACCAGTCTCCACCACACCACCAGTCTCCACCACCAGCAGTCTCCACCACACACCAGTCTCCACCACGCAGTCACCACCACACCACCAGGTCTCCACCATTACTAACAATTTATCTACGAATATTAAGTTTAAATTGATTTATTTCAGTTTTATTAACATTCAAGATATTTTCATTTACTTTTCAATTTTAATTGAACCCATTTTTTCTATTAAATTATTTTGTTTAAAATTAAAATTTTAGTAAATTACAGTTAAAATAATATTCTGTTTATACATGATTACATATATATATCATTTGTAACTCTTTACTATTACTACTACTACTACCACTACTACTCTACTACTACCACTACTACTACTACTACCACACACACACACACACACACACACACACACACACACACACACACACACACACACAACAAACTGTAACATTACAACGCACGCAGCATAGTCTTTTGCCTCGTAAATGATTAAAATTTTAATAAAAACTATTATCGATCATATGTGGTGATAATATGAACTCTGAGAATGCCTCCTATAAACACAGAGATGCAGCTGGAACTCTTAACTTTCTGACTCTTGCCCGACATCCTTATCTTAACATCCACGGGTATACATCCTCTTATCCATATTCTATAAAATAAAGTTACTTACGACAATTCTCCTCGTAATTAGAACAAAAGGTATCTATCTCACGTGGAGTGTCAGAGGCTAATTTTGAGGTCATTGTTGTCACCATCTTTGTGTTCATAATTTAATTTAGCAATTTTGGACGTTCTTAATCATGAGTTAGGATAATTAGGTTAGAGTTTTGAAATTCACAAAGTAGTGAACTTTGAATACGATAAATATAGTATGCAAAGCTGCAAGTTTTTGCACTAAGACTGTGGGTGAGCAGATGTGTTATCGCGAGCTCTGAGGAAAAAAATTACTTCAGCTGAGGTCACACTGGGGTTTTCTACCCCAAAATAAATCAACGTAAAGTTGATTTTCAGCGAACTCTTCTTGTTGTCTCCAGCGACAACTTATTTTTTTGTCATCGTGGGACGATACGGGCGTCTGAAAATCCACAGTGCGGTGGGTTTGTCATTTGCTAGAAGGTCTATTGTATTAATGAATTTACACCTTTCTTATTTTTCTTATTTATGGTAAAATGTGCAAAATATATAAAGTGTATTTCATTAACAAAACACTGAGCAAGACAGTCATAGTAAATAAAGATAATAATAATAAGATTACATCATTTGACTCTAGAGTACTTTAGTCACTATGTAAACAAACATTGCTTTGACGCTACAATCGTTTCTTTTCGTCTTGGTCTTCTTTAACAGACCACATCTCATGAAGTGTTAATGCTGCCATAAAACATACAATTGAAGTCTCCTGCTCTCCAACTGAGCACAAACTTAGACACGCGAGCTGGGCGCCTGGTCGATGGTTCGTTTTCTCCCGGTGACCAGTGTGGATCGGCCGTTGACTTATTGCCTGTGGATGAAATGTTATTGTGATTTATTGCACGAAAACTCTAGTGTGGCTGATGCTTTATGGATCACTGAGGCTCTGGGAGGTGTGTGTGTGTGTGTGTGTGTGTGTTTCGGTGCTGAGGCAGTGGAGGGCTAAATATTTGACCTCTCTCTCTCTCTAGTCTTCTTCATCTTCTTTAATCTTCTTTAACTTGTTCTTGTTCTATTTCTTCTTTAAATTGTTCCTCTTCTTTAATATTTCTCTTCTTCTTTAATCTTCTTCTCCTCTCCTCTCTCCTCTTCAGCTCCACGCACCAGACAGTTCCAACACTCATTACACACTGTTCTGAAGACTTTTTCTGGGCTCTATAATAATACCTCGCTTTAGTTACTTACACAATAAGACTTCACTGTGTTTTAATTAGTTCTCCAGTAAGATATACTATACGATGTTCATATTTCCTATTAAGTGTTGGAAACCTTCACATACATATAAGACTCATGTTTGTACAGTTTCCGGTTTTTTAAAATACTTCATGAGACTCAACCTCTACTGTACATTGTTTCTCGAATATAAAGGAACAATTATCATATTTATTGAGATCTCTCGTAAGTAATTATCTTAATAATTATAGCTAAATAATTCTAACGCCTTATTGCGGTCATTAGGTGACATGTGATGTGATGGGTGTGATCATTATACTCTCTGGCTGCCATATATGTAATTATACCTGAATAATAACGTTAAAGTTTATACTTGAACTTTATTAATCAGCTCACAGACCAAACCTTCCTGAATTATACCCATAATCATTCTAATTAATCACTCCTTGAGTAATCAGCTTTTTGGCCCTATTGTAATATTCTAATTAATCACATTTTATATTTCTAAATATCTTTAATCTTATTATCTATAACTGTAATTTTCCATGGCAAAATTGAAAGTTTTGCACTGGTTAACTATGACGTGTTGATGGTGTGTGGAATCTTGTTGGAGTCTATTGTATTGACCTTTCTAGTCCATATTATTATGACTTCGACTCTCCTATTATATTATTATTGACCTCTGACCTGCCTATCATATTATTATTATTGCATCTAACCTTCCAATTATATTATTATAGACTTATGACCTTCTTCCATATTATTGACCTCTGACCTTCCTATTATATTATTATTGACCCATGACCTTCTTATTCAATTATTGCTGCCCTGTGACCTTCCATTTTATTATTATTATTGACTTCGACCTTCCATTTATATTATTATTGACCTCTGACGTTCTATTCTATATTTCATTAACCTTTGACCTTCCTATTCTATATATTCTGCATTATTGACTCCTAAGGTGCTGCCGCCCAGGAAGATATTGGGAGTACTTATGTTTTGTCTAATGGTGAACCCTGTGCCATATGGCATACGAAGTTTGCCAAGTTCAGGTTGTTGATCTGACTTTCTGTCTATTTACACAATTGCAGGTCTGAATTGTTTCTCTTAATATTGACCTTTAAAATACATATATTGTTTCTCACTTTTGATCTTTTTAATTTTTGTATTTCTTTATTAAAATTATTATTAGTGTTATTATTATTATTATCATTATTAATTTTATTAGTTTTCTTTTTCAATTTTGTATTTCTTATTATAAATTTTATTTACTGTGAATTATTATTATTATTATTATTATTATTATTATTATATTATTATTATTATTATTATTATTATTATTATTATTATTATTATTATTATTAATATTCGTATTATTATTATTATTATTCTA